CATGAAGTTCAAACTCATGACCTGAGCCAAGGTCAAGAATCACATGCTTAACTTACTGAGCCACCCAGGTGCCCTAAGAGACATTTTTAAAAGAGTGCTGGAAAAACAATTACAAGGTACTTGACAAGATAGAGAAATATAAGGAGTGAGATAAGGCTGATGAACAAAGACGTCAATTCTTTGGACATTAACAAGCTTTTTTATCTGTGTGATTCCAAAACATCTATTTCTACATTGGTATGATATCATTATAGGAACACTTTGTATATGGTTTATATTAATTTTTAAATGATTTTTCCTCTTTTCACATTCTATTTCTGAGCAAAATGTTGCATATTAGATTTTTAAAATCTGAGTGTTTATGAAAAAAGATATTGCAAAATTAAGTCTAATTTTTTCTATAATCTTACAAAAGTAGTGTCATAGTTACATACATTTATTACAAATACCACAGCAAAGACCAATTAATACCAAAGGTTTTGAAATGTAAATTGGTTATATGTTTAATAATGAAATAAGAGTGAAACCAATGTTTTGTATACTCTTTCCTCATGGGTTACCATTTTAACTGTGACTCTTATCTGATTTTGATTTATCACTTTATCCATTCTTGTAGCTAATGGGGAACAAATTACTTATTACTCATGAAAGACACTAACTACCTAGTGTTGCAGAAAAAAGAATATTACAATTTACATTTAAATGAGATTTGAAATGTTAATGAACAGATCCAGTATTCTAATTATCTCTACAAATACTTTAAATTAAGGTGAACTTTTGTAGATGGATCATTCCTTGAGTCTCAGTCTAGAGTGCCCTACAGGGTTGCTTGATAGCACATAAAGTGTATAGCATACATATTAGATACATGTATTATTATAATATAAATTATACAGTCAAATAACTACAATTATTAATAAATATGTTATTTTACTGTAATGAATGATCACACCACATAATATATTTTTAAATTATAATATTATGACAGTACTGATTTGAGGGTCTTACTCATTTATATTTCTCTGGTTAAAAAAATAGAGACACCAAGTGCCTGGGTGGCTCAGTCGGTTAAGCGTCTGACTTCGGCTCAAGTCATGATCTCACAGTTTGTAAGTTCAAGCTCCACATCAGGCTCTTTGCTGACAGCTAGTTCAGAGCCTAGAGCCTGCTTCAGATTCCGTGTCTCCCTCTCTCTCTGCCCCTCCCTCCCTCTCTCTCTCTCAAAAATAAATAAACATTAAAAATTGTTTAAAAAATAGAGACATGATTGGCTAGAAACAGTTTTGATAAAAGTTGCCCATACAACATAAACATTTCCTTCTTATCTTAACATAATACTTTTTACAATGCATCATGCATTTGTAAGCAGTATATAAGAACAAAATGAAAAAATGTAATTTTTCAGTAGTTCACTATGCTTCAAGCTACCAATGAACGTGATTTCAATATACAAACTTTCCATCTGACTAAATGTAGTGACTCACAGGGAAAAATATAAAATACAAAGATTTCACCTTTTTTTTTTTTTCATATTCTTGTTTAAATATTTGCACTCTCCTGGAAGAGGGCATTGTGCTTTCCCCTTAAATTTATGCCATTTCTTTTTTTTTTTTAATGTTTTATTTATTTCTGAAAGAGAGAGAGAGACATTGTGAGCAGGGGAGTGTCAGAGAGAGAGGGAGACACAGAATCTGAATCATGTTCCAGGCTCTGAGCTGTCATCACAGAGCCCTTTGTGGGGCTCTAACCCATGAACTGTGAGATCATGACCTGAGCCAAAGTTGGATGCTTAGCCAACTGAGCTACCCAGGCGCCCCCATTTTCTTGATAAATGTATTTGATGAAGCATCCCAAGTATGACAGCATCTCTGGGATACAAGAACTCAAGTAGTGACAGAATAAGAGGGGCCATGAATATTGTAGAGAAGTTAATAAAACCTTTTGAATAAAAAATAGAACAATAGGCCTAAAAGAGTTTATATTGCTCATAGGCATTGAGGTTAAGAGTGGCAGAAACAAAAGCTTAATATCTCAAGTTATCACAGTTAGTATCTGCTTTAAATGGGTTTGGAAAAAAATGGCAGTGAATTTAAGGTAATGGCTTCAATGTTAGCACTGCAAAACTCCACTTCATGGTATTTGGTCTTATTTGGCCATTAGAGTGGCTTCTTCTTCTTTGATGGAGAAAACACACATATTAAACACTAGATTTATGCTTTAAATCAGGGCAAAGAAGAAATAGGAAGGTGAACCACAGTCATCAATCCTCCCTGATGTCACAAAACTTCATGTGGATCATGATGATATCCTGTATTAGTTTGCTCAGGCTGCTAAAACAAAATGCCATAGATTGGTAGCTAACAGAAATAAACTTCACACAGTTTTAGTGACTCAGGATGCCAGCATGGTTGGGTTCTGGTGAAAGCCTTCTTCCTGGCCTAGAGAAGTGTTACTTCTTGCTGTATCCTTACATTGCAGAGAAAGAGGGAGAGGGAGTTGTCTGGTCTCTTCCTATAAGAGCAGTAATTCCATCATTAAGACCCCACCTTCATGACATCATACAACCTTAGTTACCTTTCAAAGGCTCCACCTCCACATAATACCGTGGTGGAGGGTCAGAGCTTTAGCACATAAATTTTGGAGGAACACAATTCAATCCGTAGCATTTTACCATTTTTGTGCCCCCCAAATACAAAGATGAGACAGGTGTAAGACAGACATTCCAGTCCAAAAGGGAGAAATAGGAAAGAAAGGAGGGGTGATAGGTCTTAAGCAAGTTAAAACCTAGCAAAGAAAATTCTATCAGGTCTTAATAATCCTCCTTTGTTATTTATTCTGCCCTCCAAGCCCACCAGGGTGGCAACTGGAGACCTGAGAGCCAGTCCCATTCTTTGAAACTGAAACTGAAGAGGAACAAGCCTTGTCTCCCAGCCTGTGATGGGAGTAGAAGCCTTGATGATCTTTGACTTGGCTTTGTCATCATTCTCTCATTTTCTTGGGGAATCATGCCTATTCACAGCAGAATAGTTCTTTGTCCTTTCTTATAGAATATAAGAAGTCCTATAGCATTCCTTCATCCTTTTCCTCTTTGATCTGCCCCTTTTAGTTCAAACTGTCAGTGTCTTTGCTGGTATAATCCTATTTCTATTCCTAGCCTCTACTAAAATAGGTTAAGTTCACAAATCACATCCATAATCTCTATCAAATGATTACTGAGTCATACCTTTAACATTTCTTCAGATTAACCTTTCTCACTTTTTGCAATATAAATAGGCTGTTCCGTTTGGTTTAGCAAACCCATCTTGAATTTTATCTCTCTCCTGTCATGTTTTACTGTAAGCACTCAGGACAACCTAAGGTGTTTTCTCATTTTGCTTAGAAATGTCCTCAAATTATCCAATTTCATCTCTTCCAAGGGGTACCTTACACAAAAACTACAACACAATTCAGCCAGGTTCTTTGTACCAAGAATTGCCTTTCCTCCCGTTTCCAATAGCATCTTCCTCATTTCTGTGAATGGCCTTTACTGTTCCTATTTCTACCAAAATTCTATTCATGATTATTTATGTATTCTCTCAGAAGGTGGTAGATGTCTGTGTGGCTCTCCTTCCTTTTTTTCCCTGAGACCTCACCAGAATCACCTTTAAGTAGGTCCCTTCATGTCAATCTCAGCTTTTTCCAACATGCACCTCAGAACACTTCCAGCTTCTACCCATTATGAGTTCCAAAGATAGTTGTACATTTTGGGGTAATTGTTACAGCAGCACTCCTTTTATGGTGCTGTTTCTTGTCATAGCTCAGGCTGCTGTAACAAAAGGCCACATACTAGGTAGCTTAAACCACAGATAGTGATTTCTCACAATTATGGAGGCTGCAAGTGTTCGTGTAAGCAGTTAGTTAAGCTCTAACAGGATGCTTGTAGCCTAGCAAAGATGAACTCATGGCCACCTATTAGGGAATCAGAGGTCTGTCGGGCAGTTCTCCAAAACAAAACCATCAGAAGCAGGATTAAATCAGACAAGCCCAAGATGGATGACAAAATAGGCCAAAATTCACATTATTCTTTTATTATACTTTATTAGCATACTAAAATCTCTTCCCTAGGGGTGCCATGACAGGAAACCCATGACCAAATAAGGAAGAAAAAACATCTAACTTTGTTTCCAAGAAATCCGTGCCTCGAGTAATGAATATTCCACCGCCTTGTTAACAACTGTCAATAAAAGAGAGAAACCCAAGCTCCAGGGGCACAGCTCTCCCTTGGGCTCACCTGCTCTCAGGTCTTGAGATCTGCACTTCCACTTTAAGAAACTTTTCTGTTTGAGGGCACCTGGGTGGCTCAGTCAGTTAAGCATCCAACTCTATTTCTGCTCAGGTCATGATCTCACAGTCTGTGAGTTTGAGCCTGTGTGCGACAGTGCAGAGCCTTTTTGGAATTCTCTCTCTGCCTCTCCCCTGCTTGCTCTCTATTTCTCTCTCAAAAATAAAAAAAACTAAACTTTAAAAACTACAAATAAACAAATTTTCCTGCTTCTACTGCTTGCCCATCTGCTGTGCGATGTCCTTGATTACTTTCTCATGAGGAGACCAAGAACCTCCAGCGACATCTTTTGGATGGGCTGAGTAAAGGCTTCAAAGGCTGTTTTACCAGTCTAACCAGCAACAGAAGTCTGAGATTAGGGGGTCAACTTATGGTCTCTCTTCCTGGTTTGTAACTGGGCTTTTTTCCCCCTTTCTTTTCCATATCTTTACATGACAGACAAATATAACAATCTCTCTGGTATCTACTTACATGGGCACTAGTCCCATCAAGTGGACCTAATGTCATTACCTCACGTAAATCTAATTATGTCCCAAAGACGCCATCTCCAAACAGCATCACAATGTTAAATTCATAACGCGTTCTTCCTATCTTCTGTCCATACTTCAAAAACCGTACATCTCAACCACATCCACCTCAAGCAAGGAAATTTCAAATCTTTCATCTAGTTTTGGCGCCAGTACTCACTACAGCAGTATATATACCAAAATCGGAATGGTACAGAGAACATGAGCATGGCCTCTGTGCAAGGATGACCAAACAAATAAGTTTGGTGCTATAATTATTGTAATATATTGCTCTATTTATTAGGAAGTCAAGATATTTAAGACTGAAAGAAAGATTTCCTTCAGCTTGTAGTAATGAAGAGACTGAAAAAAACTGGAATGAACAGTCTCAGATCGATATACTTTTAACAAAATAACCAACATCAAATACATAAACAGAAAAATAAAAAATAAATAATAAGTAAAATAAAACCAAACAAAAAACAAACAAGTCCAAAACTATAATGCCAAGATTTTAAGAAAATATATAGTATGGATCCCCACCCCTCCCCCAAAAATCAAACTCCTTCACCAAAAACTGAATTTGACTCCCTAATCATAAAACTAAACATTATTGCTGAATTTACTATTAAATTTTAGTTAACAAATTGGTAAAAACCTCACATACGAATTTGTACAGAAGAAAAGTGGAGAAATTATAATTTCATAAAAAAACTCAAAAGAAATATAGAATTTAAGAACTAACTCTCAAATTAGCAATTTATTATTTTTAAATATAAAAATAGTCAAATATAAAACAAAATAAAATAAAGATTAAAGTGAGGTTGAAATGACTTCCTAAACTTAAACTCAATGGAAAAAAATCATAAATGGAAAACAGTAAGTTTTACAAACATGCATATAAACAATTTGAAAAACAAATTTCATAAAATACAAAACAGGGGCCCCTAGGTGTCTCCCTCAGCTCAGTGCCCAACTAAAGATTTTGGCCCAGGTCATCATCTCATGCTCTGTGGGTTTGAGTCCTGCATCAGGCTCTGCCCTGGGCATGAAGTCTGTGTAAGATTTTCTCTCTCTCCCTCTCTCTCCGTCCCTCCCCCATTCATACACATGCATATGTGCACTCTAAAAAAAAAAGTAAAAAAAAATTAATTAATTAAATAAAATCAAACACACAACATATCCTAAAATCACATAGTTAATGTTAATCTAATTTGTATTTTTAATTAAGCAAAGATGCCAATTAAAAAAATTCTGATATGCCCAGAACATAAGGAAAGCTAACTTAAAATTTAGGAATTATAACTGAAAGCAGAAGGAAAACTTTAAGAATGTAGCATAAATATTTTGGCTTATTTAATCTTTTTTCATTTCTAGAAATTTAATCTGTTCTGGTCACAGAATAGCAGTGAGGATCCCCTCAGTGAAAATAATTCAATTATGATCTTGGACAGAATAGATTGTTTTGGGCACTTGACCCCAGTTAGGCCAATGACAATCCATTTTCCACTCCTCGTGCACTTGAGACATGGTGTTTTGTTGATGGATGATGCACGTTCAAGAGGGGTTAATGGACCTGAATAGGAATTTGTCCCAGGAAAATTTACCAACAAGCTAAGCTAAAGTTTTGTGGTTTTGTTTGGTTTTGTTTTGTTACCAAATGGCTTAAAAAATTAGAGAATGACAAATTACAAAAAGTAAGATAAATTAGATGCATAATTAAGAAGAGAAGCTAAAGAGAGGTAGAAAGTCATGTGGTTATCAAACTCTTAGTTCCATTTTCTCCTGGGTCCCAGTTGTATCATGATGTCTAAATTCTGTAGGAGTCTGGAGTTATTATACTAAGTCCCTCTTCAGAGAGCCCAGTGAGTCATTATCACAGGGTCATCTGATTGAACATCAAGACTCTACAAAGTATAGCCTATTTAGGGTTTTCCTAAAGGCAAAAAATATAGGATAGCAAGAGAAAAAAAAAGAGCTGAGCAACAGCTTAACAGATAAGCAATGAGGACTAAGAATTCCAGGCACAGCTCCTTAGGATGCACTTATCCAGATTACAGCCATCAAGATATGTTCAAGAAATCTTAGTTTCAGAGGAACATTAGCAAAAGTTCCAGCAGTGTCCTTTTTTAACTTCAAATTTTTATTTAACTTCTAGTTAATTAACATATAGTACAATAATGTTTTCAGGAGTAGAATTTAGTGATTTATCACTTACATATAACACTCAGTGCTCAACATGATAAGTACCTTCCTTAATACCCATCACCTATCTAGCCCATCCCTCACCCATCTTCCTCCAACAATCTTTAGTGTGTTCTCTATCATAAAGAGTCTCTTATGGTTTGTTTCCCTATTTCTCTTTTTTTCATCCTTCCCATATCTTCATCTTTTTTGTTTCTTAACATATATTAAGTGTAAAACCTTGGTTTAGGAGCATAATTTATTCCAGAAACAAGTTTGTAATCCAATGCACTTGCATATCAAAGAAAATTTCCCCATACATAATAATGGAAACTCAGATGATTCATTCCACAATCCTAAAATATTCAAATAAAAATATGTAATAAAATATAAAATGATGAAGGAAATATAAAACATAAAGAAAAATAAACAAATTCACTGGCATTTACCTTTGAAAACCTTCATGGCTGATATGAGGGAGACAACAGTAGAGTTATTGTGTAGGACGACTTTCACTATCACTAATGGTTGTTGGCTACAGTACAGTATTAATATGTACTATATTTAATGTAACTGGCAGTACGGCAGCAGAGGAAAGGGTCTATATCTGCAGGCAGCCTCACCTAGAAGGAAGCAAAGCGTTCCTACCTAAGCTTACTGTTGTGTGGAAAAGCAAAGGACTGTCCATAGGTGGTTTGATATGACAAAAATACACTAGTGCTAGTTGTGGGCAGCTTCCCATGTTCTGAAAAATCACTGATTTCTGTCAAGCATTGTGGTCTGAGAGTGAGCATCTGAGCATGGAAGACAATCACCCACAATCTCACAGTGAGAGAGAGAGAGAGAGAGAGAGAGGAAAGAAGAAGAAGAAGAAGAAGAAGAAGAAGAAGAAGAAGAAGAAGAAGAAGAAGAAGAAGAAGAAGAAGGAGAAGAAGAAGGAGAAGAAGGAGAAGAAGAAGGAGAAGAAGAAAGGAGAAGGAGAAGAAGAAGGAGAAGAAGAAAGGAGAAGGAGAAGAAGAATTGGCTCAGTTATGACCATGTGACATTCAGAGTCACATAATACTCATATTGTAAGATGTTGCCAGTTTATCAAGTTAAAATTTATTAGAAATGTTTACTCATCTTGCGAAACACTCACAGAGCAAGTTACTTGCAATCCAAATATATGTACACACACACACACACACACACACACAGAGGAATATTATTTGGCCATCGAAAGGAATGAAATCTTGCCATTTGCTATGATGTGAATGGAACTAGCATGCATTATACTAAGTGAAATCAGTAAGAGAAAGACATATGCTATATGATTTCATTCATATGTTGAGTTTAAGAAACAAAACAGATGAACTTTGAGGGGGATAAGAGAGTGAGGCAAACCATAATACAGATACTTAACTATAGAGAGCAAACTGAGGGTTGCTGGAGGGGGGGTGGGTGGGGGATGAGTTAAATGGGTGATGGGCATTAAGTAGGACACTTGTGATGAACACTAAGTGTTGTATCCCAGTGATGAATCACTAAATTCTACCCCTGAAAATTGTAATACCCTATATGTTAACTAAACTAACTGGAATTTAAATAAAAACTTGAAACTACAAATAAATGAATTAATAAATAAATAAGTTTTGTAAGCCCTACTCCCCCTGCCAGAAAAAGTACATTTTAAAATTACTCTGATGTAGTGATTTTTTTAGAAATACACATAATCAGGGAAATGGGTTACCACTCCCTATACCATTGCATATGTATGCTAGAATTGAACAAATAAGTCCATAGATGGGAAGCAGTGGATGCCAGGTTTCCCATTTTTGGAGAGGAAGCTTACAGATAAGCAAGGGGGGAAAGCTCGAGTTATACATGTGGTAATAGATTAGAGCTAGAGACATAGGCATGAACAAACATTAATATGGATACAGGTACATATAGCAATTCTTATATGTACATAAATATGAGGCTTTACCAGGGTTACTATAGGCACCTTTATTCCCTTGTCTGTCAGCTCTGTGCTCTAGAGGCAAGGACACGGAGGTAGCAGTAAGTACACCCAGAACTAATATTCTCTAGTATTTTTTTTTATGTTTATTTATTTTTGAGAGAGGGAGACAGAGTGTGAGTGGGGGAGAGGCAGAAAGAGAGGGAGACACAGAATCTGAGGCTGGCTTCAGGCTCTGAGCCCAACGTGGGGCTCAAATCCACGAACGGTGAGATCATGACCTGAGCTGAAGTTGGCTCTTAACTGACCAAGCCACCCAGCTGTCCCTAATATTCTCTAGTATTAAAGGGAACTAGCACTCCTTGGAGTAATGGGGATTCTAGAGGTGGGACAAAATGTGTGTAACATAAGCCTGGAGCATCTTATAGGTCTAGAAAGTAAGGAACTGCTCAAAAAGTAAACACAACAATGCAGTTATGTTAAAGAGCAAAGGAGCCAACTGAATGAGCTTCCAAAGACCAAACTGGGACATTATGAGCAACAAATGGAGTGTGCAATTATGCTGGGAGCCACACTGGCCTCACTGGATGACAGTCACAGAGAGGAAATGGCAGCGTTTGCACAGCTTTTGCCATGAGTAATTAAAACTGGTATCTCCTTCTGCTACTACTGGCTCATGTTGGAAATGAGGCTGCTGGTGTTGACCAGGCCTCACAATATTCCAGATCAGACCAATATTTCCCACACAGATTCCTCATAAGGAAAAGCATATTCCCGCCTTTGAGATTTTAGATGAAAGCATTGTGGATGATTGTCCAAAGACTCTTCCTATGGGCCTTGTAGATCCAAGAATTTGATAATAAAGGGGGTTAAGAACATAAGAGTTACAATTGAGCCTGGCCCTGAGACAAAGAGCCTAATTTAGAGTTAAGGACAAATGTCCACTCCCACCCAATTGTTTCTTCTTGGAGCACTGACACCCAAGGCATCTTTGTTGATCAGTATTCAGGAGTGACTTATTCTGGCCTTGAATATGCTGATTGCTCCCTGTGAAGGAACCTATTGTAGGAACTTCTTCTTTTGTGATTATGGGAGCAAACACTGTGTTTCCTGAAAGACCTGTTTTTCTTGATACTTCACTTTAAACAAACAAGCTAT